TGGTTCTGTTTCGTGGCGTTCTACTCGCTCGTCTTCTGTTCTCAGCTCCAGTTGTGAGGCTGAGATCTACGCCACCGCCATGGCTGCTCAGGAGCTGCGCTGGCTCACCTACCTGCTGACCGACCTGGGAGAGCGGCCTCGTTCTCCTCCAGTTCTGTACGTTGACAACAAGGCAGCCATTGCCTTGTGTGAGGAGCACAGACTGGAGCACAGAACGAAGCACATCGCTCTGCGTTACTTCCTGGCTCGAGAGTTGCAGCAGCGTGGTCAGCTTCGTCTTGCACACGTGGCCACTCGGGCCAACACTGTTGATATATTCACCAAGGCACTTCCGTCTGGTGATCATCAGCGCTTTTGTACCTTGTTGGGCCTTGTGCCTACGTTTCCACACTTGCTGTAGACTCTGCCTGTACTGTGATCTTTATATATATATACCTGCATGCTTGCTCTTGCTAGGTAGTGATCACTGTACTTTGTTTGTTGCATATATACCTCTGCATGTGGACAGGCCTTGTGGCCTTTTGCTTGTGCTCAGTGTGTGTGGTGACGTTGTGATCCACCCTGAGCTTGTTTTGTTTCTCTTGACTGGTCTTGTGACCCCTTGTTCTCCCCCACTTTGCCTATGGGGGTGTGTCAAACTATGCATATTGTGTTTGTGTAGGCTGCTAGTGGGGTAGCCCATATGGGGTACAACCCAATGTTATGTACCCAACTCTTGATCAATGCATTCATTCCTGCTGTCAGATTTTAACAAATGATTGCAGGGACTCTCTGACAGCAGGGAATGATTGCAGGGACTCTCTGACAGCAGGGAATGATTGCAGGGACTCTCTGACAGCAGGGGATAATGGCAGGGACTTGCTGACAGCAGGGAATGATTGCAGGGACTCTCTGAAAGCAGGGAATAATTGCAGGGATGGACTCTCTGACAGCAGGGGATACGATAATGGCAAGGACTCTTTGACAGCAGGGAATTATTGCATGGACTCTCTGACAGCAGGGAATGATTGCTAGGAGGGACACTCTGACAGCAAGGAATAAAGATAGGGTCATACTATGGTAACAGCAGGGGATGATGGCTTTGCTGGGTCACTCTGACAGCAGGGAATGATAGAAAGAACATACGGTACCACACTACCCGTTTCACATAAAAAAAACGCCGCGACCATAACATGAGCAAATCTAGTACGCATTCTCGCAGATTTGCGATAATAAGTCATTGCCCAATCACGTCACGTGTTTGAAATGTTACAGGATAACTACCAGCTTTGGAGGAAGGTTTGGCATGAAACTTTGGCAAAAGAGACATTCTCTGAGCAGAGAGCAATTGACAACTATTTTCTAGATTTTGTGAGCAGCGCTTTTACTTTCATCTTGAATCTTACCGAGACTGGTTTAATGAGTACGGGCTCACCAAAATCAGGAACACGTGTCACCGAATCCGGCGCCCTCGTAGCTGGCGTCTGCATTCGTGGAAGATTCACGCGAGGTCGCAGGGCACTATTTGCGGGGTCAGCGGAATGCGGCGTCGCGGGCGGAGGTGCATCGCGCCGCATCCACCAACCGATGCGCGCATGCGATGAAATGCGAGTCGGCGGCATCGGGAGTTCATGGGATGCGGCGCGAAATCGTTGGAGGCATCGAGGCCTCAGGAAATTCCTCCAGCAGGATTCGCGCGCGGCCCCCATGAGGTCCTAAGGAGCTGTTCCTCCTGTTTTTCCTGCGAGTGTCGTCGCTCTCTCTGGCTAGACGTGCAAGCAGAGCCTTCGAGCGTTTCTTTCACCTACTGATCTCACCTAGTAGTGCGAGCAAAGTAGTCAGTCAGTCGTCGAACGGAGCACGTGCAGGTGCAAGTGCAGTAGCAGCGGTAGCATACGTCGCCATGGCGACCAGCACTCGCGCGCCCCAGAAGTCGCCCTCCCCGTCCCGCCCCGAAGAGGTAGGCGCGTCCGTAACGTTTACTGCCTCCCGTTGCGCACCCTCTCTTTCCCATCCTCTCCGCCAGCCGTGCTCACGCCCACCCCCCTCACGCTCCCCTCGTACCCACCCCCCTCCCGCCACCCCCTGTCCGCAAGTGCCGGGTGAAACGCCCTCCATGACATCTCTAGCATTTGAATTTTCCTCGGTTCTCTTGCAGTCACTCGAGCCGCTCAAGTCCTCCTTCCAGCACGTGAGCACTCACTGCTCCACTTCCTTACTCGCTTCGTCCCTCGCTCCTTTCCCTATCCTCTCCCTCCCCGCTCCCAGGTGCTGGGCGGAGCCCCCTTCATGGCATCTCTCACCTTCCAGTCGGCCTTGTCTCTCCTGCAGTCCTCCCGGCCACTAAAGTCCTTCTGCCAGCACGTGAGCACGTGGGCGCACTACGCGCAGAGCCCTGGTGTCACACACTGCTCCTTCCTCCCCACTCCGTTCTCTCCCTCTCCCTTGCGCTCCCCCCTCCCAGGTGCCGGGAGAAGCCCCTTCCATGGCAACGTCTGCCCTCGAGACAACCGCCTCTCTCCTGCAGTCCTTCCGCCCGCTCAAGTCCTTTTGCCAGCACGTGAGCACGTGGGCGCACTATGCGCAGAGCCCTGGGCGCATGATCGAGACGCACCACCTCGTGGCTCGCCTCACAGAAGACGTTCTTCAGTGTATCGTCTTCGACTCTGACCAGCCCAACGCTCGCATTGTTGGTGAGTGCTGTTGGTTTGTTCAGCTGGATGACTGGTGGAACATTGGGCTGGTGTCAAAGACGATGCACTGCAGCACGTCCTCTGTGAGTCACAGAGGACGTTCTGCTGCAGTGCATCGTCTTCGAAAGTGACCTCATGCTCGCATCGCTGGTAAGTTACAGTCATCTGAATTTATCTTTTGTTTTCCTCGCGAAGTCACTCCTCTCCTCTCCACTCCTCTCGTCTCCTCTCCAGTCCCCTCCTCTCTCCTCTCCTCTCCTCACCTCTCTGGTCTCCTCTCCCCTCCCCTCCCCTCCCCTCCCCTCCCCTCCCTCGTTAATAACTTGAATGCTCTGTGTGTATTGCCCCAACCCAACACCCGCCAGGCGTGGAGTATATCGTGACAGAGTCAGTGTTCAAGAAGCTTCCAGAGGAGGAGAAGCACATGTGGCACTCGCACTACTATGAGGCAAGCAAGCACTCGTCCATACATGACGCATGCATTGGTGAAAGCCACTGTTGATCGCCGATGCTTGTGATTGTTTTCCATTGCTGCACAACACAGCTGGTTCTGGTTTGTGTTGTTTCTCAATCTCTTGTATTGTCATTCTCGCATGCCGCCTCCCCCTACATGCCTGGTCGTCACCGCGCATGCTGTTTCCCACCCCTCTGCGCTGCGTGTGCATTCACCTCAACGAGCAGATCTGTGAGGGTCTGTGGGTGAACCCGGGGATGCCAGAGACCCTGCAGCAGCAGGAGCTGAAGAAACTCGTGAAGACGTACGGCAAGTTCTGGAATACATGGCAATTCGACCGGGGCGACCCCCTCCCCCTCGGCCCCCCTGCCCTCATGCTCTCCCCCCAAGACCACCCCTTGGGGCGCGTTCCCCCTGCCCTGGCGGAGCAGAGGGATGCTGCGTTGGGGATAGAGACGGGGGAGAAGCGGGAGCAGCGGGCGGCGCTATTGGACAAGGAGTGGGCGGCGACGGGGAAGGACCGGGCGGCGGACTGGTGGATGGAGAGTGGCAAGGGGTGGGTGACTGAAATGAGGGCCGTTGAGCTGGAGAGTATGGGGATGAGGAAGGGGGTTGAGGAGAAAGGAGGGGTGCCGTCTGTGATGATTGGGGAAGGGGAAGGTGAGAAGAAGGCGTTGGGGGAGGGTATGACAGGGAAGGGGTTGACCGAGACAGGTGGTGCTGCTGGTGTAGTGATGGGTGAAGGGGGGAAGGAGGAGAGGAAGGAGGGGGAAGAAGCCAGGGGGGCTAAGATGAAGGGAGAGGAGAGCAAGGGGATAAGGGAGGGAAGGAGCGTGGGGTGGGGGAGGAGGAGTTCGTGTTGGCTGGTCGTCCCGCTCAGTCTTCTGGTTGAGTGACTCAGGCAGTGATGATTGTGGAGCGACCATTACCTGCTCTGCTCAGTCTACGATCATGGCAATGGTTCAATCAGTGCTGAAGGAAATAGAATACCAGTAGAATTGCTAGCTATGTCCAGGTGAAGCTGCAAGTGTGGAGTGGAAGTGAATCCATGTGTACCTTTCCATGTAGTGTACATGTATGTGTCTCAGAATGTTACAACGTACACATCATAGGCCCCCCCCCCCCCCCCCCCTTTTTTTTTTTCTGAATGCACAACACAAGTCACAATAAATCCCGTACATTGCATGGAAGTTTCTAGGTATGCCAATTAGCACCATCTTCCGTTCCGTCAGACTAGAAAATCAGCTTATGTATTGTCATCTTCCTTATTCTCGGCACCACCAACTGTTCCATCACCTTTGCTTGCATCCATGCTATCATCTGCTTCATTCTCATCCTTCTCCCCCGCCTCGCCCCCATCCCCATCCCCATCCCCATCCCCATCCCCACCCTCCTCTCCCTCCTCATCCTTCTCCCCCTCATCCCCATCCGCCTCTCCCTCCTCATCCTCCTCCCAGTCATCCTGTTCCCCCTCCTCATCATCATCCTCATCCTCCTCACTGTCCTCTCCCTCTCCTTCTCTCTTTGCTGCTCTCTTTGCCACGCTGCTCGCTGCTGATGCATTGCCCTTCTCCATCTGTCGTACAGCACACAACCAAGGGCATCGGAATGGAAGGCGGCAGAACCAAGGGCAACAGAAGCAAGGGCAGCAGAATGGGAGGCAGCTTTACGACATTTCAAAACTTTGCCACGCTGCTCGCTGCTGATGCATTACCCTTCTCCATCTGCCATGCAGCACAACCAACCATCAGCAAATTCAATTCAACGGCATACCTGCGCACACCTGGGCACATCTGGGCACACCTGGGAGCACCCCTGATTACCTGGGCTCACCTGGGCGCACCCCTGATTACCTGGGCAAGACAAGCACATACCGCACGCAGCAGGCTTCGTCTCTCCCTCTCCCTCAGCCTCCCAAGGGCCTGCACACAGAGCAGAGAGCAGAGAGCAGAGAGCAGAGAGCAGAGAGCAGAGAGCAGAGAGCAGAGAGCAGAGAGCAGAGAGCAGAGAGCGGAGAGCGGAGAGCACAGAGGGAAAGGGACTTTTGAGTCAACTCTGAAGCTCCTTCAGCATGGAAACGAACTGGTTAAGCAGCTTAAACATGGAAACGAAATGAAATAAACAACAAAAAAAATGCACTAGGACACTAAAAACAACACTACACCATAGACCTGTTCACTTAATTTCACTCTCCTTCCTGCACTGCATTCTCCCTCACCTCCCACCTACCTTTCTAGTGCACCCTTCCCATTTCTACCCTAGCTCTCCGTCATCATTTCCATCCCATCTCTATGCCACCCATATCCAACCCGTCCGACCCGTTTGTCCTCACCTCCTCTAGTTGCTTCATCTCACTCTCCCGCACTGCTGCTTCACTGTTGGACGCATGGGTGATGGAGGGGAGGGGGGACATGAGTATGTGAATGTGGATGTACATGGACGTTTGGGGCCAGATGGGCAAGTCAAATCGAAGGATCGGAAAGCAATAGCCGAAAAAGATATGGATTAGGTGGGAAGTAAGAATGGGAACTACAAGCGGATCTCTTACTACAAAAATGGGATGTCTTACTCTTGCACAATCTCTTTGGTGGATTGCCTGCACTTGGCACACACCCCCTTCTCCTGCGCACATGCTGTTTGCTCACTCACACACACACACACACACACACAGACAGACGCACAGAGGACAGGAGTTATGCATGCATGCACATGCGCGGACGTGATGGGGTCAGACAAACACGAATCGAGCAAAAGCACGTAAATTTCGGACAAGCGAAAAATTAACGCAAGGAAGGTTCTAATGGCATGACATGCCCCTTCTTGCCACGGTTAACATGCCTGTCGCTCGCACACACCTTTCCATGGCACGGCAGGGATGGTATGCTCACCTCTGCAGATGGCATGCTCACCGTTGCATCATGGCATGACATGACAGGGATGGCATGGCACGGCAGGGATGGCATGGCATGGCATGAATGGCATGCTCACCTTTGCAGATGGCATGGTACGCGTCTCGCACACTCCTCTTGCCACATGCTTGGCTGCGATTGGTTGAGCCACAACGGCGCAAGGAAAAGAATGAGAGGACGGCTGGGTAAGTGCTGAGAGCGATTGTGAGGTGAAAAGCAGAAAGAGGGCTGAGCGGAAAGGACGAGGGATGAGACAAGTGGAACCAAGAGGAGAGAGATTTTTGGATTGATGAGGGAAGGGGCAAAGGCAGCCTTGCGAGAGGAATCATTCATTTGCGAATGAAGATGTGAGTTTTCCCGGAGACAGAACATTCATTCGACAGAGCATCCGTACAGGTGTGTTCAGTAGTGAGATCTGAACGCAGTCAACAGACACTGCTGGTGTGTGCCGCCTCATAACTCCTTCTCCTGTGCTGCTCCCTTCCCCTCCCCCTTCACCACTCCCCCTCACCTCTCACCATTTGGCAGGCTCGGTCAGAGGCTTGTACTTGCCGTACCTGCACTCAGGGTGGGGAAGGGAGGAGGAGACGAGGGCGATGATGAGGGATACAGGGAGAAAAAAGGGAGGTGCCACAGGAAAGCGGGAAGGGCGATGAAACGAGACGAGGGTGATGACGAGAGATGCAGACAGAGAAGGGACCAGAGGGGAGAGGAGAATGGGGGAGTACGGGAATTGGGGGGGGGGGATTTAAGGGGAATTGGGGAAACGGCTCATGCCAGGGTTGGTTGGTGACAAAACCTCTTTCTCTCTCTCCCCTCTCCCCACTCCCCTCTCCCCTCTCCCCTCTTCTCTCCCTCTCCTCTTCTCTCCCCTCTCCCCTCTCCCCTCTCCCCTCTCCTATCGCGCCTCTCCCCTCTCTCCTCTCATATCTACCTCCCGTCTCCCTGTTCCCTTACCGCAATCCATACCCCCTTCTCCCCTGCCCAGTTCCCACTCACTTGCCCCGCCATGCGATCTGCTCAGAGCACCACCAGAACACAGCAAGGCCCCACTCAAACCCACTCAGCCCCACTCAGCTTGACTCAGCCGCATTCAACCACTCACTTGCGGCGCCATGCGATCTGCTCAGAGCACCGCCGGCACACACCACTAATGTTTGCGAATGGCCTCGTCTTCGTGCCTAGCTCCTGGGGAGGGAGGGAGGAAAGGAGGGGAAGGGGACGGGGGATACACGCAGGGAAGGATGGGAAGGTTGAAAACGGCGGGGTAAGGAAGGAAGGCGAGATGAGGTGTAGGCGAGATGAGGTGTAGGCGAGATGAGGTGTAGGCGAGATGAGGTGTAGGCGAGATGAGGTGTAGGCGAGATGAGGTGAAGGCGAGATGAGGTGAAGGCGAGATGAGGTGAAGGCGAGATGAGGTGAAGGCGAGATGAGGTGTAGGCGAGATGAGGTGTAGGCGAGATGAGGTGTAGGCGAGATGAGGTGTAGGCGAGATGAGGTGAAGGCGAGATGAGGTGTAGGCGAGATGAGGTGAAGGCGAGATGAGGTGTAAGCGAGATGAGGTGTAGGCGAGATGAGGTGTAGGCGAGATGAGGTGTAGGCGAGATGAGGTGTAGGCGAGATGAGGTGTAGGCGAGATGAGGTGTAGGCGAGATGAGGTGTAGGCGAGATGAGGTGAAGGCGAGATGAGGTGAAGGCGAGATGAGGTGTAGGCGAGATGAGGTGTAGGCGAGATGAGGTGTAGGCGAGATGAGGTGTAGGCGAGATGAGGTGTAGGCGAATTGCCTCGAAAAGGTGAAGGAATGGGCATTTGAACATCTGAGTTGGTCTGGCAATGCAGCAAAGAGGAGTGAAAGCTTGGCTTTCCAAATATGCATAGACGCTTGTCTTGGTGTATGTATCCAGTCCGTCCTTCCATATCCACCCCTTCCATCCATCCACCCATCCCCCCCCCACACCCCCCCGTGGCCAGCACATTGCTCCTCTCACTGTTCTTCCCCTCGGCTCTCCGTCTAGCCTCCCCCTACACTTCTCTCTTTCTCCTTTCCCTCCCTCCTTCCTCAATCTCCTTCCCCTCACATCCCCCCACAGCCTTCTGCCTTTTGTTATTCATTAAGCTTTAAAATCCACACTGCCCTCCCCGGCTCATTCCCTAAATCCTCCCTCCCTCCTCCCTCCATCTTCCTCCCTCCTCCCTCTATCCTCCGTTCCTCCCTTTTGCCACACACCTCTCGTTCTCTCCCATCTCAACCTCACCGTTTCTTTCTTCTGCACATTGCGGTTTGGTACCCATGCTGTCCTGCCATGCCATTGGGGTGGAGAGGCGTGCACACAGTCAGAGCACACGGCGCACAACACGCATGCATGTACGCGCGCACAAACACAAAAAAAAACGAGCACACAGAAAGGATTCGAAGGTTTTACGGGGGTTCTGGGTTCAGCAAGCCCATTGCTTTCTATTCTGCCACGCCACGGCAATGGCACTGGAAGGGGACGGAAACTACTCGAGGATTTAACCAAAGTTCTGGGTTTAGCAATCCCAAGCTGCCCTGATAGGCTGGCAGGCTGGCAGGCTGGCAGGCCACTGCAATGGCAACGGACGGACGGACACACAGAAAAAGGCTGTCGCGGGTACTGGGTTTTAGTGAGCTGCTAGGTTCACAGCATCACAACATCATCTCCCGATCCGCAAAGGGCTCACTTGTTCTGATGCTTGGGCGCGCCTCTCGATGGCGCTCCTCTTCTCGTCGACATCGCCGCCCTCCCTCCCCCTCTTATCGCCCACCACTCCTCCTCGCACCCTGTCACTCCCTCGTACCCCTCTACAACCCCCCGTTTGCCCCTATGGGTCCTTCCCTCTCGCCCCTCCCTTCACGCTGAGCGATCCTTCACGCGTCACACCTTGTAGCCTTCCTAAACCGCAGTGGTCCCAGGCGCTACAAAACCCGCAGCGGTCCAAGCGAGAGAGTTAAAGTTTAGCCGTGGAATGCAGCCGGTTAGGCGGCTAGTGTCTACTACTTCCGGATCCTTATAATATCCGCCGAAGTACTAGGTATTGCCGGAAACGGGGAAATGATGAAAAAAAATTTGGTTAAGCCCGCTCACGCGGGGTGCCTCAACCGTTGTGTGTTGAGAGCCCGAAGGCTGATCTCGTCCTTGTCGAGGGAGATGCTAACCTTCTCTCGGCTCAACGAACACACGAGAGTAGAGTAATCTACGATTCTAGAAGACTCGTGTTTTGAATTGAAGTGTTCCGTGGGCGGTGGATAAACAGAAAATTGAACTTCCTGTTATATAGCACGTGGCTTGCACGACCGCTTGTGCTGTAGGTGGCTGGTGTTGCCGCCCCCCCCATAATCTCGCAGTTTCACACCTTTGAAATTTCCGTGCAAGCGAAGAACACGTCTTTGGGGATGTGGTAACACGAGTGTAACCACCCTGACAGCCTCTTCCTCCCCGGCGAAATACCGCGCGCTACAAGCCGGCTGGTGGTGCCGCTGACGACAGCATTTGATCTTGGTGAAAAAAATCGTTTCAGAACTCTAAATAGCGGTGACAAGGTTTTTGAGTAGAATGCACGAACCATCTGGAAATGGACAGCCGAACCAAGTCAAGTGGGCCATGGATAATGCAGCTGAAGCCTGAAAGCATGCACATGGCTGCGGTGCAGTGTAGAACAAGCCCAGCTCAGGGCCAGCTCTGAAGGCGAGCAGAGAGACCGAGAGACCACCATTATACCATATCGCGCACCGTATGTATGCACCATCTTACACAAAAAACTCTCGATGCGACCCGTTTTCCTCCTCTTTTTGTGATCTAGGCTTTCTTACGATGGATCGTCGCGGAGTCCGGACCTGTGATTGGCTGCTTTCGCCTTGCGCTCTCACTTGGCTACGTGTCGTCAGACTGTCAAGGACCTGTTGATGAGGACCTTATTATGAGCATGTTATGGCGATGAATTTAATAGCTAAGGACGGATGTAGGACTGATGTCCTCTCGCCGTTCCAATAAAGCGGAAATTTCTGACGAATCACGAGACACTAAGCGTAGAGGGATTAGTTGGCAGCTGATTCCCAATCCGGTGTCTGAGAGCGTCTCGCTTGCCACGTCGCGACAAATCCAAGAGTGCTTATCTGGCCTGTTCAAGTCCGGCTCCTCGATTCTCTCTCGCAAGCGCGGAATCTCCTCCAAGGCGAAGGAACAGCAGGGGCAGGGTTCAGATCAGCTCGGTCAGTCATCGTCATCGCATCGATCGCCATCCTTGCAGTTTCAATCGCCATCGTGTCCCGCTCCTGGATCGACATCCTTGAAGCGATCTTCGCGCGTCGCTGAAACTCCCAACGCAAGCACCACTCGTGCTTATCCGATCGCATCTCATCCCGCGTCGAATGGAATCGCAGGGGCTTCAGGAAAACTAGAAGTCGACGAAGCCGGAAGATCACGAAAATATCTGCGATCTTGCAAATCTAGAAAACATTCAGGAAATTCGCAGCAATCACGAGGGATTACAAGGCGTAGAGACTTTGAAGAAGCGGCAGGTGCCTACAAGCGGTTCAAGATGTCGTGGATGGGGGGATGGAAGCGGGAGACGGACAAATTCCAGCTCGAGTTAGGCTACGGTGAGAAGGAGAAGCAGAGAGAGAAAGACTTCCCTGTTGAAACGAACGGCTTTGATGGGACCACGTCATCAGCCGCATCTGATGCGGGGGATGATTTGGACGGCGAGGGTGGGCCTGGCGCGGTGGCGAGAGCGTTGGTGAGCAAGATTCGCGAGCCAATGGTGAGCGCGGAGCGACAGTGCAGGTTTCGCATCCAGATCGACTGGTCTGCTGGCGACGACGAGGAGCAGGTGGCGTTACGGTTACAGTCGCTCGTGATGGTAACCCTACCTCCCCCGCATGACCACGTGGTAGTAGGCATGCGCGTGGAGCCACGTGGCGAGGAGAATCAGGACAGCAAGGCAGCATCAGTCCCTGAAGCAGCATCAGACGAAGCATCAAATGAATCAGGAGACGAACGGCTGAGATTGCAGGATCCTGGGAAGTGGACGGTCCGGATGAACATGAGAGTACACAAGCAGAGGGAACCCCTGCACGTGCTGCGACTGACGAGAATAGCGGCTAGCAGCAGCTCATCGTACTCAGGCAGCGATGGGCTGTCCATGCTGGCGAAGCTGCTCGACGCTAAGGGCGTGGCCCTCCACCGGGCGGACCTCGCTGCTGCTGCTGCCAGCTCCATCCCCACAGGGCCTTCAGGTGGAATTTCAGGTGGTGCAGGAGGGGGCTCTGTTGGTTCAGGTGGCGGTTCAGGGTCGGGCGGGAGTGCAGGGAGTGGTGGGGCGCTGGTGAAGTCAGGATCGGGAGATGGAAGCGAGAAAGGAGGCACGGCAACAGGGGGGCAGCACCAGCAGCAACAGCAGTCTCAGGCAGCATCCGCTTCGTCAGAGCAACAGCAAAAGCAGCAGCAGCAGCAGCAGCAGCAGTGTTGTCAACAGCAGCAGCTGAGAGCATGCTGGGTTACTCTGATCACTGGCGCTCGTTGAAGGCTCTCTCCCTCTCCTCCTGCTCCCTCTCGGTAAACACGTTAATCCTTCCCAGACCCCTTCCCGCTATAAGCACGTGCATCCCGTCCACTCAAACCCTTTTTGCCTTCTCTGTAAGCACATTTTCCCCGGACCTCTGACCTGCTCTGCAATGTATCCCTCTCGGTCCTTCATCTTCCTGATTCAACCCCAGGTGCTCCCAAACTTCACCATGAACCTGCCGCTGCTGGAGGTACTGGAGGTGGAGAACAACCGCCTGAGCGCACTGCCAGGAGAGATTGGGCAGCTGCAGCAGCTGAGGGTGCTGCGCGCTGATAACAACCTGCTCACCACCGTGCCCAGTAAGTCACGCACAGTATTGATATGATATGAGGCATGTGTGCTCGGTGAGTGATTCATAATGCTCCTTACAGAGGGGGCAGCTGCAGCAGCTGAGGGTGCTGCGCGACGGCTGACAACAACCTGCTCACCACCGTGCCCAGTGAGTTGACGCACAGCAGAATCTTGAGGCCTTGCAGGCGTTACAGTATCGATTCTCTAGGCCTGTGTGTCCAGTGAGTGATTCTTAACACACCTGAAAGAGGGGGTTAGTCACAGCAGCTGCGGGTGCTGCGAGCTGATAATAACCTGCTCCAACCTGAGAGAACTATTTCTTGAGAGCAACCGCCTTGTGCGTCCCCTCTTTCTTGAGTCGACTCAAAAATCGTCCCTTGCCCCTGTCATTCTTCTCCTGTTCCTCAACAACTCCCCCCGTTACAGTCTCACTGCGAGAGTGCTCCAACCTGAGAGAACTCTCTCTCGAGAACAACCGCCTTGTGCGTCCCCTCCTGGACTTCAGGCATTCTTCTCACCCGGACCGTGCTGTTCCTTGCCCCTGCCCTCTTTCTCCTGCCCTACACCAACCAACCCTCCCCGTGACAGTCACACTGCGGGAGTGCACCAACCTGAGAGAGCTGTCCCTCGAGAACAACCGCCTTGTGCGTCCCCTCCTCGACTTCAGGTGCGTCTGCTACTTGCCTTTCACTCAGTTTCTTCCCGCCTTCCACTCTTCCGCCACTCGTCTGCCACTCGTCTTCTGTCACCACTCTACCTTGCGCTGCTGTTCCATGCCCTATCAACACACCCCCTTCCACTCCACAACTCACGTCCCTCCCCCACAGGTGCCTGGCGGACCTGAGAGGGTATTACGGCTCTTCAACAACCCCCTCATGTTCTTCCCCGAGATCCTCCCCTGCCGCCACCATCATCAAGCCATCCACAAACCATAACACCGTTCTACAACCATCCCCACCCCTCTGCAGGTGCCTGGCGGACCTGAGGGTGTTGCGCCTCTTCAACAACCCCCTCGAGTTCTTCCCCGAGATCCTCCCCTGCCGCCACCTGCGCCTGCTCTCCCTCGCCAACGTGCGCATCGTCAGCGACCCCGACCTCAAGATCGTTGATGTCAGCATCGTGGTGAGTGCAGCACGGTAGTGAGTCCGTTGTTCCACGAAATGCCCCGTTGAACAACGTTAGAGCAACATGTTTGCCCTCGTATTAAGCTACTCACCGTTTCTCTTCTCTCTCTCCCCCCCCCCCCCCCCCCCCGGATCTTCAGCAACTGGAGGCTCAGCAGGGTTCCTACTTCTCTGCGTCCAAGCACTGTCTGAGCGACTTCTTCTCGCTCATCTTCCGCTACTCATCCGTGCACCACCCCCACCTCACTCTTTCCCGCCCCACTTTCCCCTCTCTCCCGCCCTTCATCTTCAGCAACTGGAGGCACAACAGGGCTCCTACTTCTCGGCGTCCAAGCACTGCCTGAGCGACTTCTTTGCCCTCATCTTCCGCTACTCGTCCGTGCACCACCCGCTGCTGGCGTCCGCCCTGGCGCGCATCTGTGAGGACCGTGAGAACCGCGCGGCCATTGGCAAGGATGAGAGCGCGATTAGACAGATCGTGAGCATGGTGCTCGCAGACTCCAAGCACGTGGTGAGTGGAGCGTGGGGGTTGTGTGCGGGGAATGGGTTGTGGCGGTTAAGTGAGAATGGTTGCGAACTGTGCGGCCATAGGCAAGGATGAGAGTGCTATTAGACAGATCGTGAGCTTGGTGCTGGCGGACTCCAAGCTTTAGTCTCTCACCTGGTGAAATCCGACGTCCTCGCACCCATCTGCTCGCTGCTGCTATCCCAGCAGCCCTGTCAAACCCCAACCCCCCGTTCCCTCTTCCCCTTCCACCACCCACATCAGGTGGAGCAGGCGTGCCATGCACTCTCCTCCCTGGCAATGGACGACGCGCTTGTGACCCACTTAGTGAAGTCGGATGTGCTGGCGGCCATCTGCTCGCTGCTGCTCTCCCAGCAGCCGGAGATCCTCGTGTCTGTGCTGCGCGTCATTGCCAACCTCGCCCTCGCCTCCGACTCCGTCGCTGCCCGTATACTGAACGTGGACTCGGCTGCCATTCTCACCAGCCTATGCCACCACACGCACATGATGGTACGCGTGCATGACATGATGGTATGGGAGCTGCATGGGAAGCGCCATATGCCATATGACCCTATGTTTGTCGCATCTCTCTCCTCACCCACTCCCATCTCCACGTTTCAGTCCACCTGCTCTTCTGCGCGCCCCCCCCGCGCTTTCCCTCCCCCAACTCCCCCACCATTCCCCCCCCCCCCCCCCTCTTTTCCGTCTCTCCCACCTCTCTTTTGAGTCGACTCAAAAGTCACTTCCCCCCCCCCCTCTTTTCCGTCTCTCCCACCTCTCTTTTGAGTCGACTCAAAAGTCACTTCCCCCCCCCCCTCTTTTCCGTCTCTCCCACCTCTCTTTTGAGTCGACTCAAAAGTCACTTCCCCCCCCCCCTCTTTTCCGTCTCTCCCACCTCTCTTTTGAGTCGACTCAAAAGTCACTTCCCCCCCCCCCTCTTTTCCGTCTCTCCCACCTCTCTTTTGAGTCGACTCAAAAGTCACTTCCCCCCCCCCCTCTTTTCCGTCTCTCCCACCTCTCTTTTGAGTCGACTCAAAAGTCACTTCCCCCCCCCCCTCTTTTCCGTCTCTCCCACCTCTCTTTTGAGTCGACTCAAAAGTCACTTCCCCCCCCCCCTCTTTTCCGTCTCTCCCACCTCTCTTTTGAGTCGACTCAAAAGTCACTTCCCCCCCCCCCTCTTTTCCGTCTCTCCCACCTCTCTTTTGAGTCGACTCAAAAGTCACTTCCCCCCCCCCCTCTTTTCCGTCTCTCCCACCTCTCTTTTGAGTCGACTCAAAAGTCACTTCCCCCCCCCCCTCTTTTCCGTCTCTCCCACCTCTCTTTTGAGTCGACTCAAAAGTCACTTCCCCCCCCCCCTCTTTTCCGTCTCTCCCACCTCTCTTTTGAGTCGACTCAAAAGTCACTTCCCCCCCCCCCCTCTTTTCCGTCTCTCCCACCTCTCTTTTGAGTCGACTCAAAAGTCACTTCCCCCCCCCCCCTCTTTTCCGTCTCTCCCACCTCTCTTTTGAGTCGACTCAAAAGTCACTTCCCCCCCCCCCCTCTTTTCCGTCTCTCCCACCTCTCTTTCCCGCTCCCCTCTCACCTCGCCCCTTCCACTGCCTTCCAGTTTTGAGACGTCTCAAACCTCCCTCTCTTGTCAATCGCCCAATCCTCCCACCTCTCTTTCCCGCTCGTCTCCCAGGTGCAAACTCAAGCCCTCATGGCCGTGGGTAACTTGTCATTCTGCCCGGACAATCGCCGCCTGCTGGTGGCCCAGCCAGGCTTCCTGGACGGGCTCTACCACCTCGCCACAGGGGGCGGGGGACTGGCCGGCGGGGGCTTCGGAGTGGGCGGGGAAGGGGGAGGGGGAGGGGGAGGGGAAGTGGGGGAAGGGGGTTTGGGGGCGGAAGGGGGGGGGATGAGGGGAGGCGGAGGGGGTGTGGGCAGGTACCAGCACAGGGCGTTGGTGGTGGAGGTTCCAACTGTCTTCTCATTCCGCAAGGCAGCAGCAAGAGTGCTTGCGATTCTGGGTAAGCTGGCTTGAATTGCTTTTCTGGCTTTCTAGTATATCTAGCTCCACCCTGTCCCATTCTGTGTGCGTTGCACTGCAGGCGAGAACCGGCTGGTGATGGGGGTGGGGGCATGCCTGCGCGGCAGGGCCATGGTGCAGATGCCACGCAGCGACTCATCTACTCCCTCCCGTTTTACCCCATTTCCCCTTGCACTGTGCTGTGTGTGCTGTGCTGTGCCGGTGCTATGCTGTGAGGTGCTGTGCATGCTATGCTACAGGGGAGAACCGGCTGGTGCAGGAGGCGCTGTGCGCTCGGCCGGTGGGGCAGAGGGGCGTGCGCATACTGGTGATGGATGGGGGGGTATGCGCGGCATGGCCATGGTGCAGATGCTTCGCAGCTAATCCCATTCCTCCTCCCTCTCTTTTTATCCCATTCGTGCTCGCTCTCCACTGTGCTATGATGTGCTGTGCTGTGCTGTGCGGTGCGGTGTGGTGCGGTGAATTGCAGGTGAAAATAGGCTGGTGCAGGAGGCTCTGTGCGCGAGGCCAGTGGGGCAGAGGGGCGTGCGCATACTGGTGATGGACGGGGGGGGCATGCGCGGCATGGCCATGGTGCAGATGCTGCGGCAGATCGAGGGGCGCACAGGCAGGCGCGTGCACGAGCTGTTTGACCTTGTGTGTGGCACGTCCACTGGCGGCATGCTGGCAGCCGAGCTGGGGATCAAGCGCCTCACACTCGATCAGTGCGACGATGTGTACAGGCGATTGGGTGAGGGCGTTTTGGGGGGTTTCGGTGGCTGTAGGGGGGAAGGGAACTGGGTTTGGGGCAGGCGCGTGCTCGAGCTGTCTGTTTGACCTGGTGTGTCGCAGCCTTTAGACCCATGTGATGACGTGTACAGGCGACTGGGTGAGTTGTTGGTTTCGTGGCTGTAGGGGGAAGGGAACTGGGTTTGGGGCAGGCGCATGCACTGGTGGCATGCTGGCCGCTGAGCTGGGCATCAAACGGCTGACTCTGGATCAGTGTGACGATGTGTACAGGCGACTGGTTGAGAGGGTCACATGGGGTTGTAGTAGGGGAAAGTGGGGTTTGGGCACGAGTTGTTTGACGTCGTGAGTGGCACGTCCATTGGCGGCATGTTGAACGCAATGCAGAGCCCTCAGGTTGCCGATCATGTGATGACCTGTATGATATGACTTCCTCTCCTCCCCTCCCCCTCCCCTTGTCCCCCCTGGTTCATTGGCTGCTCAACCCAGGCAAGCTGGTGTTTTCGAACGTGGAGGCGATGGAGTCGGCATCTTGGCGGGACAAGCTGGACCAGCTGTACAAGAGCTCGTCTCAGAACTACCGCGTGGTGGTGCATGGCAGCAAGGTGAGGGAGGGAATGGCATGGCAGTAGGGTGGGAAAGGCGTGTGCATGGTGCGTGGTGGTTTTGGGGGGATAAGACAAGCTGTGCCAGCTGTACAAGAGCTCGTCACAGAACTACCGCGTGGTGGTGCATGGCAGTAAGGTGCGGACAGAGCTGCGGCCATGCTTAGTGTTGTGCACACAGGGTAGTTTGAGGCCCATGTAGACCTCAAACTACACCAGCTGTACAAGAGATTGTCGCACCTCCCTCCCTCCCTCCCTCCCCCTATCTGCTTCCCTCCGCCTTTCAGCACAACGCGGAGCAGTTTGAGCAGCTGCTACAGGAGATGTGCACGGATGACGATGGGGACCTGCTCATAGACTCCGCAGTAAAGGGCGGGCCCAAGGTCTTTGTCGTCTCCACGCTCGTTAGTGTCACACCCGCCACGCCATTCGTCTTCCGCAACTACCAGGTGAGGTTCTTGCCAAGTGCTGAGTACCCCACAACGTGCTCACCACCCCACACGTTGTGCGCTGCGCAACCGTTGGTGCACCCTGCCAATAGCCTCCTTCCCTCTAACCCTCCATCCAACGGTTTCCATGCCATCCACCCTCCATCCAACGGTTTCCATGCCATCCACCCTCCATCCACCCGGGGCTATCCGCGTGCAAGTTGCAGCTCTTCTTGGTCTGCACCGTCTTTCCCCGCCACCACTCCCCTAACCGCTGCTGCTACTTCCTTCTTCCCTCATCCCTCATCCCTCTTCCCTCTTCCCTCTTCCCTCTTCCCTCTTCCCTCTTCCCTCATCCCTCTTCCTTCTTCCCTCATCCCTCTTTCCTCTTCCCTCTTCCCTCTTCCCTCTTCCCTCATCCCTCTTCCCTCATCCCTCTTCCCTCTTCCCTCTTCCCTCATCCCCCCCACAGTACCCCCCAGGGACTCGAGAAACCCCCCATCCCCCTTCCGACGGCTCTCCCATGCCCACGCCGCCCCCCCGCATGCGCACGTCGGGCCTATCCGCGCTGCTAGGCACGTGCAAGATGCAGCTCTGGCAAGCCATCCGAGCCTCCTCCGCAGCTCCGTACTACTTCGACGACTTCGCCGTTGGCCCCCACCGCTGGCAAGACGGGGCTATTTTCGCAAATAACCCCACCATTGTGGCCGTTAGAGAGGCCCGGCTGCTCTGGCCGGACCTGCCGCTGGACTGCGTCGTCAGCCTCGGGTGCGGCTCTGCGCCGCCGAAGCTGCGCGGGAGGCCCGGGTGGAGGGTGGCGGATACGGGGCAGGTGCTGGCCGAGGCTGCCACGTCGGTGGAGCAGGCGGATCTGGCGTTTGAATCGGTCATGCCCATGCTGCCCGATGTCAAATACTATCGCTTCAACCCAGGTCAGTCAATGGTGAGGCGAGAGTGCTTTTGAGGCGCCTCAGAATGGCCTTCTGAGCGCCTCAAAAGGGCTTTCAGGTGGCCATAAAGGTGGAGCAGGCGGATTTTGCATTTGAATCGGTTATACCCATGCTGCCTGATGTCAAATACTACCGCTTTAATCCAGGTCAGTCAGTGGTCAGGCAAATGGGCTTGTGAAGCACCTCAAAGGTTGAGCAGGCTGACTTTAGCGCTTGAATCGGTCAGTGGGGAGGCGCGAGAGAGTGCTTGCAGGTGAGAAACCTGGACGAGTTCGAGCAATGGCGAGCAGGCAGTGACTGACAGGTCACCCTTCAACCCCTTCCAACCCCTTCCTGCCCCTTTTAAGTGCATCCAAACCCCCTTCAAACCCCCTTCAAACCCCCTTCAAACCCCTCATACACCAGTGGACGAGCGGTGTGGCATGGACCTAGATGAGACCGACCCAGCGGAATGGGAGAAGCTTGAGACCGCAACTGATGAATATTTGACAGCAGTCAACCGTGATATGGCTGAACTCTGCAAGTACCTGCGCCTGTGCGTGGCTCAGGAAGAGGCAGAGAAGGCCGCAGCAGCAGCACTGTTAGGCGGAGGAGCAGCAGCGGCGGCCGCAGCAGCGGGAGGTTACAGGAGTCGTCCGGGCAGTCGGCCGGGAAGCGTGCCTGGCAGCCCCTGTCCCGGCACCCCTAGAGGCTACTCCAGCCCCGGCGGAGCAGCAGCAGCAGCAGCAGCAGCGGCAGCAGGAAAAGCCGGGTCTGTTTACCCCCCCATTGTGCTCCCAGCGTCACCCAGGTCTCCCAAGGCGTCTGCCCCCGCCTCGCCCCTGGCCAAGGTGATTGGGACCCCGGGGGAGCAGAGGAGGGGAGGCAGTGGCAGCTCGCTGCATGCGATCAATCCGTACCGTCGGCATGTGCTGCTCGTCGACTCCATCCGGCCGTCCGTTGCCCGCCGGCCCTGGCAGCACTCGGCGCGGCTCTGCTGCTCTGCCATCGGTGGTGGCGGCAGCTATTATAACAACAGCAGCAGCACTGTTTCTACCCATGCTGCAGCTGCAGCGAGGCTTTCAGGGATTATCAGCAGCATCAGCACGGAGGGTGGTAGCACTGGCAGTCTGCTGTCCCACCTGCGCCGCCCTCCTAAGGTAGATGAACACATATGTGAGCCCTGCGACCCTCCCTCTGGCGGCACTGCTGCTGCTACTTCTGCTGCTGCTGCGTCCACAGGGCTTTATTTCTCCACCTCTCTCCAGTCGCCGTTCAGCTCCCGACCCTCCAGCGTGCCTGGCAGCCCCCGAACCGCAGGGTCAGCTTCGGCCATGGCTGCTGCTGCAGCTGCAGCGGCTGGGGCGTCTGCTAGTGGCGGTGCTAGTCCCCATTTTGGGCCTGCTACAGGAGTGGCAGCACCGGCAGCAGCAAGGGTAGCTTCAGCCAGTGGTTCTGGTGCTGCTGGGATGAGGAGGTCCGGTAGCAGCACGGCCTTAGCAGCAGGTTCGGCAAAAGGCTCGGTTGGTGTGGGTGGAGGTTCGGGAGAAACAGTGGGAAGTGCAGGAGGCAGAAGGGGAGTGGATGGAAGGGGAGGGGGTGGTGCTTCCCCGGTGTTCCGAGTTCCCTCCAACCTCGATCTTAACAAGCCGACAGGAGAAACCACACGCCCTGCTACTGCCAGCACCACTGCTGCTGCTGCTCCTGCTTTTGCTGCTACCGTTCCTGGGGGTGGGTCTACTATCAGGGCGACTAGTACAGAGGACACACCTCTGGGAGTGGAAGCGAGTTTCCGACCCTGGATGACTGAAGGGGAAGACTCTGACGGGGAAGAGGAGGGGCAGAGAAGCATGAGCACCACCAGACAGGCAGGCATGGGAGCAGTCACACGGGGTTTCACACCGGCATCAGCATCAGGCGCAGTAGGGACAACGGTGTCGGCAGCAGCAGGGAGAGCAGCGGCGGCAGCGGCATCGGCAGCAGCAACGCTGCCGAGTGTGGGGGCGCGACTGAGGCCGGTGTGGACGGAGGGCGGGTCGAGGAGGGCGGTGGCGCTGTCTCTGTCCCCCCCGGCAGCAGCACTCATGCAGCGCCTGCAGCAGGCCGCTGGCGTGGGGCTCGTGCACCTGGCGCTGCCATGCGACCAGGCAGGCTGTATTCTCACGTGAGTGCCATGCTGGTCGGCTAAGACCAGGCCATGCTTTGCTTGTTCGCTCCCTGGCAACCTCTGCTTGGTTGTGAAGCTCATGCATCTGGGTCTGCCCTGGCTCCACTCCACGCCTCGCCTGCTCTTTTGGCTCGCTCACACTGTTATAATACAAGCAAAACGCATTATCCGCCTGTATCTCACCCTTCTCCAATCATTCCCCCGCCACTGACACCCTATGAGTGCCCAACCTCTCAGCAGGTCATCTAAGGTCACGTCAGTGGCAGAACCCAGCGATTCCGAGTCTCATCTGCACTCCTTGCACGGATATAATCACAGCCTTCCCATCCCTATCTCCCATTCTGGTCACTCTCGCTTGTCCCGTGTTGCCTCAACCTCTCAGTTGGTCATCTGAGGTTATGTAGGTGGCAGAGCCTAGTGATTCCGCCACTCGCCTGCTCTCTCGCTCTATCCCGCACGTCACGTCTCTCTCTTCATGCCCCCAAATCCCCCTCTCTCAGTTGGTCATCTGAGGTCATGTCAGTGGCAGAGCCTAGTGATTCCGCCACTCGCCTGCTCGCCCGCGCCATTGACAGCATCGGCTGGTGGAACCCCGCTCGCCGCCATGCTGCTGCTCTCGCCCACTCTCTTGCTGCTTCTGCTGCTGCTGCTGCTGGTGGTGCTGGCGCGGGTGCTGGCGCTGGTGCTGCTACTGGTGCTGCCAGAGCTACAGTTTCTGGTTCGGGTGGTCTTGCTTCGGCGCCTGGTTCGGCCTCAGCTTCGGCGGTTGATCTGGCTGGGCTTGCTGCTACTCACCAAGGAACCAGTTCCCCCGGGCTTGGTTCTGTGAACGCAGCAGGTTCGACAAGCGCAAGACTGACAGCAGGTTCGGGATCAGCAGGCCCGGTAGGCGTGAGTGCTTCGGGTAGCGGCGGTGGCAGTGCAAGAGGCATCAGTGGAACCCCGAGCTCTTCTGGTGCTCCTGTCACTGCTGCTGCCGCTGCTGCTGCTGCTGCTACTGCTGGTGGCTCTGCTGCTGCTGCTGCCACTGGTGCTGCCGGTGGTGTGAGAGGTGCTGGTCCACCTGGTGCTGCTGGGGGAGCGGGTGGAGGAGCAGGAGGGGGAGGGAGAGGGGGCAGGGGAGCGGGGGAGAAGGCACCGGCGAGTCTGTGGGAGTTGGTGCATGTGGCGAGTTGCTTTGTCGTGGATGGGGTGCTTCATCGCTTCATGGGCTGCCACACCCAGGTATGCCACATGCTGCCCCCCTTTCAAGCCGCCTCAAAAGTCACCAGCGAGTATGTGGGAGTTGGTGCATGTGGCGAGCTGCTGTGTGGTGGATGGGGTGCTGCACCGCTTCATGGGCTGCCACACCCAGGTATGCTCATGTCTGAGACGCCTCAAAAGGCGCCACCAAGCCAGTGGGAGTTGGTGCATGTGGTGGCAAGCCGCTTTGTGGTGGATGGTGTGCTGCACCGCTTTCTGGGCTGCCACACTCAGGTATGCCAAGTCTTGTCCTCACACATGGCTTGCCAAGTGCCTTGCCCTCACCACAACTTCTCCAAACCCATCACCGAATATTTTTCCTGACATCCTCCTCTGATGCTACTGCTTCCCTGTTTGTCTGTTCCCCTGTTTGTCATTCCCTGCTCAGATCCTGCCGGGCGGCATGGAGGTGAGCACGTATCTCTTCAGCTGCACGGCTCCCGCCATCCACCTCACAGAAGCTGACATTCGCTGGATGGTGAGTTGGGTGGGGTCGGGGTGATTGTTGGAGTGTTTGATGGTTGGGGCAGTCAGTTTGGTGGTTGGACGGTTGGATTATGGATGGCGCATGGTGGCTCCCGCGGTCCACCTCACAGAAGCCGACATTCGCTGTATGGTGAGTGGGTTGGGGTGGTGGCATGCTGGATGGTTGGGTGGTGAATGGTGAAGGGTGGTGGGTGGTGGGTTATGCATTTTGGTGGTGGTTGGATGGCGCGTGGCTCGCTGGCATGTGGCCTCATCGTGCGTGCTGGTGAAATCTCTTAGTGGTTCATGTTTGGGGGCCATACGGTGGTTGGCGTGTGCACATTTGTCCTCGAATCTCACACTTTCCCGTCTAATCTTCTCCTCCTCCTTTCCCTGCCTCCCTGCTGCCGACTTGTCTTTTGCCTCTACCACTCCTGCCTTCGCCTCCCTCCACCGTTACAGGCATCTTCATGGAGGGATCGCATCATAGTGTGCACAGGCCAACAAGGCCCCCCCTCTGCTCTCATAGACGCTTTTCTCGACACCGGAGCCAAGGCTGTCATCGCTCCTCCTCCTGCCGGCTCCTCTTCATTGCCTGGATATTTTGCTGCTGCGGCGGCGGCAGGTGGCATGTCTCCCCGTGTTGACGCAGTTTATCAAGGAGCGATGGGTTCGGATTTGGCGGCGGCAGCAGCGGGTGGGGATTTGGGTAGGATGGGGAAAAGGGAGGCCTGGTTGGAGGACGTGGAGGCTTGGATTGGTCGGGAGGATCGGGTGTTTGGTTTGGCTGTGGAGAAGGAGCAGGCAAGTGCTAAGGTGGAGGAAGAGAGGTTGGGGTTGTTTTTGAGGGGTTTGTACAGTGGGTTGTTTGATGATGGATTCTCGGCTCCTGTAGCTTTGGAGGAGACCCTGAAGGCACATCCAGGGATGAAGTTTTCATGCCATGTCAAGAAAAGGTAATTTTGTATCTAAAATACATCCATCCATACAAGTTGGTAAACACTAAATTACCGTGATACTGTCACCGTAGAATGCCATTGGTATTTTGTTTCTCAAATTGTATTAACGAGTCGACCTGTAGTGGGATTTTTTTTTTGCTTTTCAGGGCCAATCCCTGGCAGCGGTGCTTGCTGCGCTGGCGCGCGGCGATGCTGGAATGTCAAGAAACTGCACCAGAAGCATCGCGTATTTTCCATCTCCACCCCACTGATCTCGTCCAAAACGCACAAAACCGCAGTAAAATCATCCCGTAACATCAACAACCTCCATCAACTCTTTTCCCTCCTCTGCCACACTTCTCCTTTTTGGATCATCTCGAGGCAGTTCCACTCTTCACTCTCGACGTGACTCAAGTGTTCTTCAACTCGTGATTTTCCTTCATTATTCAATAGAACTTCGAGTTCACCAGCGTTGGTTTCAGGGAGTCTCTTTACTTTGGCTACAGGTTTCTGTATCGTGCCTCGCTGTTAATCGCATAGCCCGTCTGCGCTGTTTCGCCACGATCGCCGTCCACCGTTTCTAAGTGTAGATCGCCTACCGAACACCCGTACAGCGTCACCAAGCGTCTGCGCCTGTCGACAACATTGCTCTATCGTCGAAGCGCGAGTCAACAAACTTTTTCGTTGAGCTTTCAGCCAGCAATCTGATTCAGATTCAAAGGCAATGGCCGACTCTGCGAGCGGATCTGCAAGCGCGCCGAGCTCAGACTTCTACACCGCTGCCGGATTCAGAAAGTGGGTGGTGGAGAACAAGATCAAGGCCGTTGGTGAGTGCAACTAGATCCTTACCTAAATACCCCCCTAATTATCACAATCCGTATCCGTTGCTCAAGAAAACAAGCAGCGACACGTTGCATCGAACGGATTTCGAGACGAGTTACGGATAGACCACGCTGGTGATTCGGGTGTGGCATCACAGTTTGCTTCTGCCGGTCCATCAGGCGGTTCGTAGTCGTTAACGGTGTCATCAGAACATTGGTGAATCACTGTGACAACCCTTGTCATTTAGTGGGCGTGTTTTGAGGCTATCCCATGGCGTCATCAGTGTTGGAAAATCAAAGACACTGCTGGAGTACTTGTCACATCTCAATCATTCGACTGTTTTTTGTGTCCGGCCATCTCAGGTTCTCTATGGGCGTCAGCGGTGGGAGGATCCATTTTGTATAACTTCCGCAAACCAGGGGAGAAGATGAGCGTCAAGATCATTCATGCTCGGTGAGCTGTAGGAAATGATGCTATTGTCCAATAAGGTTGTGATGTATTGACAGTTCACGGGCTCCCTGTCTACCTTTCTGCTATTTGCTGTTCACTACTGCGTCTCACTTCTGATGGCATTGTGCACTCGGACAGTGGCCAATTCAGTGTGTTACTGCTTCTTTCCTCCTTTTATGTCTCCACAGGCTACACGCTCAAGCATTGACATTGGCAGCATTGCTGGCTGCTGGTGCTGTGGAATACTACGAGCATGCCTCAGGAGCAAAAGTGGAGAAAGTTGCTGAACAAACGAAATTGCATTGATGTCTAGACATTGAAACCTAATCAGTACCATGGAGCGCGCCCCCAATTTTTTGTATACTACCACAGTTCTATATTGGTCAACTCTTTCTCTAAAGAGGGATAAGGATGAGGCACAATGTGATGGATGGTAGGTGGGCTGGTTCCGTATCATGTTATTCACCATTATTCCCTAGTTCGGTGGCACCATGCCCTGCTGTTTAGTGCAACTCCTAGTGGTGGGTCCCTGCTAGCTAGCATAGTTACGGTATTTGCCTTGTCATCATACCATGCTGTTATTGCACTCCCTGCCATCATTCCCTGCAGTTAGTGTGTCCCTGCCAACCTTCCCTGCTGTTAGTGTGTCCCTGCCATCCCTCCCTGCCGTTAGTGGAGCCCTCCTGACCTGCCTGCCCAACCTCTCTGTTGGTGTGCCTAATGGACCCCCTGCAGACCATCCCCTATTGCTATACCTTGCCCCCTACTATACCGCCCACCTTACCCACTTCAATATACCTCATACCATAATATTGCTCCTACCCTACTATTCAGCCTGGTTTTGTAAGCCACGGACCGTGTCTGCTACAACGGTAGCACTTGGACATCATTATTCTGTCTTCACTTCCCAATCTGTAGCAGGGAGCATGCCACAGAGTAAATGGAATACTAATAATCGTTGCTTGAAAAAGGCATACGGTAGATATGAAATATGTCTTGTATGGCGAAGGTGTGATAGCATGAAAAATCAAGGGAGGAGTTGCAACAGCAAGGAGAAGCAGGATGCGAATGCAAGATCTGCTGAGTGCATGTGAGAAGGGGACGAGGAGAGCAGGGTCGTTACGAGCTTACCCAAAAAGCAGAGACCTCCACTTCCAGTGTATTTGTATGTGCTGCTTCTCTGGCCTCCCAAGGACCTGTACCGGCCTTTAAGGCCTGGGAAATAGGGTGGGAGAGTGAAGCACCGGTGCGGCATGTTATATGAGCGCTGGTAGAAATGACGGTCCAACCCCCGTAAAGAAGGAGATGTACCAGCCCCAGGGATGGTGGCAGGCCCACCACTACACCTCCTCGCTGCACCACCGCTGCTTCACAACAAACAGTGAACCACACGCGAAAGAAAAGCTCCTTGCAGGAGATTGGTGTAGAGATTACAGAACAGAATTGTTGACTCACTGGAAGGAGAAGCGTTGACTCACTGGAAGGAGAAGCATTGAGTCACAGGAAGGAAATGCATCTTCTCATTGAAAGGTGAGAGAGTGGAATAACAGGAAGGTGAGGGTGTTGGCTCACTGGAAGTTGACTCACCGGAGCAGAACGAAAGGGTGATTGCCGGGAGAAGCCACGGAGCTAGCAGTTGAAGAGCCCCCAACAGATGCTGCCCCATATTCCCTCCCTCCCCTCCCGCACTAGCGCTCTACACTTGTGCTCTGCGCTTCTGCTGGGGCAACTGGTCTTGTCAGTGTGCCACTCCGCTTCCTCTGCTGCCTCATGAGTGGCCTGAGGGGAATGGGGCAGGGCGGATGGAAGGGGGCAGAGCGGAGGGAATGGGGCGGGGCGGAGGGAAGGGGAGAGTCTGGAGGGAATGGGGCGGGGCGGAGGGAAGGGGGCAGAGTGGAGGGAATGAGGCACAGAAGAAGGAATGGGGCAGAGCGAAGTGAATGGGGCAGAGCGGAGTGATTGGGGCAGAGCGGAGGGAAGGGCAGAAGGCGAGTGAGTGCAGGCCAAGAAACAGGCACGAGATATGTGAGAATATTTACAACAAAGACTTAACACGGAATGGAGGAAACCGTGGGGTGGGGGGGGATGGTGGGACGGGGGAAAGGAGGCATACAGCAAAACTGGAACAAGAAAGAATTGGAGGGGTGGAGAGCGCTGTTTGCGACCTACTCAGGGGTGTAGAGTTGGAAAAAGTGGCATACCTTGATAGGTCACGGCCAGCCCCATACTCTTCCTGGTAAAAGCGCTGCCTCCCTGCAGTGGAAGGTCCCTCTGCTGTGCCACAAGCTCTCCGGAAGGCGGGCAAAGCGAGCTCCCTGCTGCCCACTACGCTCCCGGTTGCTGCTGCTGCTGCCTCTGCTGCCACAGGGAGGGGAGGTTGGAGGAACGGGGGGAAACGGAGGCATGCAACAAGAACTGGAGCACGCAAGACGCACGGGAAGGTGCAGAAGAGCATGGAAGCAAACGAGCCAAAAGAAGAACGGCGTGAGAGGTGGTGGGAGGAGCGTGGGAGGCGAAGGGAGTGTGGCGAATGGCAGCCCGTGGCAGTTTGGCAGCGAGCGAGCTTGCAGGGGGGGAGTGAGGAGGAGGAGGACGCGGGCATGAGGATGAATGCATTCTATTCTATCCCCCTACAACTCTACCTACATGCGCTCAGCTGCCTTGTGCCACGGCCCACCATCTCCACACGCCCTCACACTCCCACCCACACTCCTAACCTCTCTCACGGAAACGTGTCGAGCATGTTTTGATTGCGCATCAACGAAACTGGATCAACCAAGGACGAAGAAATGGGAATAGGTGCACTTATCCGGAAGTAGCTGCGGGCAAAATGGGAGGGGGCACTCTCCCTGGTGATGGATGAACGACTGCTAACTGCTGCAGCGTTGCCTCGCTGCAGTGGCACTTCCCTTTGCTGCGTCACAAGCTCTCTGGAAGGCGGGAACAAGGGAGAGGAGGGCAGAAGGGGAGTGGTTACAGGCCTTGGGACATGGAAGGTCGGATACAAGGCATGAGTGCAAAGGGGCAATAACAGAGTTGATTACCGAAAGTGAGAGCAGCAGGAAAGAGCAACCACAAGGCAGAGGGCTTACCTTGATAGGCCACGGCCAGCCCCAGCGTCACACGTGCTTGGTTGGTGCGCCTTGCTTGTCTGCCACTGCTCCTTGACACCAGAGGCCAAGTGACATGCAAAGGAGAGGGGCAGAGGGTGCGAACGTGGAATGTGCACAAAGACTATGTGTTGTCGCAGAGACGAGATATGAGAGAATATAACATGAAATACTTCACACGGAATGAAGGAAACCTAGAGGGGAGGGAGGGAAAGGGGGGCGAGAGGATGGAGGGACTGCGGGAAACGAGGCATACAATAAAAACTGGAACTAGAAGGACGGGAAGTGGGAGGGGGTGAGCAGAATTGGAAGCAAAGGAGCACATGGCAGCATGGCATGGGAGTGGTGGAGAGCGGTGTTTGCGACCTACTAGGGGTTGTAGAACTGGAAAAGGTGGCATACCTTGATAGGTCACGGCCAGCCCCATACTCTCCCTGGTAAAAGCACTGCCTCCCTGCAGTGGAAGGTCCCTCTGCTGTGGAAGGTCCCTCTGCTGTGGAAGGTCCCTCTGCTGTGGAAGGTCCCTCTGCTGTGGAAGGTCCCTCTGCTGTGCAAGGTCCCTCTGCTGTGCAAGGTCCCTCTGCTGTGCCACAAGCTCTCCGAAAGGCGGGGAAAGAGAGCTCCCTGCTGCCCACTACGCTCCCGGTAGCTGCTGCTCCTGCCTCTGCTGCCACAAGGGGGGGAGGTTGGAGGAACGGGGGGAAACGGAGGCATGCAACAAGAACTGGAGCACGCAAGACGCACGGGAAGGTGCAGAAGAGCATGGAAGCAAACGAGCCAAAAGAAGAACGGCGTGAGAGGTGGTGGGAGGAGCGTGGGAGGCGAAGGGAGTGTGGCGATGGCAGGCCGTGGCAGTTCGGCAGCGAGCGAGCTTGCAGGGGGGGAGTGAGGAGGAGGAGGAGGACGCGGGCATGAGGATGAATGCATTCTATTCTAACCCCCTACAACTCTACCTACATGCGCTCAGCTGCCTTGTGCCACGGCCCACCATCGCCACACGCCCTCGCACTCCTAAGCCACTCTAAGATTTCGCATAAACAAAAGTGTGTCAAAGAAATACCAGAAAAAGGGAATAGGTGCACTTATCAAAAAGTAGCTGCGGGCGAAATGCTTCGCTCGACACTGAGGCGCGTCGCTCGCCGTTCGTCGCTCGCAGCGTGCGTCGTTGCTCGTTGTCGCTCGGGCGCCGAGCGTCGTTGCTCGCTCGTCGCTCAGTCGCTATGGCAGACGCCGTCACTCGTCGTGCGCTGCTCGTCGTCCGTCAATCGCCATCCGTCTCTCAATCGTTTCGCTGCTTGTCGTCCGTCAGTCGTCGTCGCTGCTCAGACTTCATCGCCCGACGCCTCAGACTGGTGCTCCTTCACCATCGTAGTTCCCGCTTGTCACCGTTTGCAAGAGGAGTTCTCACGCTGCCCGAATCGCCTTGGTTTTGCCGTACAAATGAGCCATCGCTGCAGTCGGACCTTAATCGCCGACGCTTGAGAGCTGATGTCAACGCCGAACGAACGTTGAACGCGATGACTCTCGTTCACCAATATGCGATGTCTCGCGTCGTGAGCAGCACGCGATTGACGTCACGAGCGAGCGTCGATGGAATTACCGCGTGCATGTAACAATCACGAACCCGATCACCGCCACGCTCCTCCACTGCTCCAGACGGTGATGACCAACGGACGGAGTTGCGACGACAACCGACGGAGATGTGCAGGACTCGATTCAACAGAACAATACACCTCTCGCCTTGAGCGGGACGCGATTCAGCTGAATCCGACAACATCACGAAGGCGAGCGTCACGGGACCGTAATGGAGTGTGAAATACTGCTATTCTTGAACTGATAGCGTCGCTTCTCCCAGGTAACATCTGTCATGGAGGTCTTACTGCTTTCGCCATCAGGGTCGTCACGCCTCAGAGTATGAAATACTGATCGCGTTTGTCGTGTCGCTTTTGCCGTCAAGAATAGTTTTGTTTATCAATCACACCGTCGGATGACTCTCCGAATCGATCGTCACCGTCGTACACCCCCCGTCAACGACAAGTATAACTGACGTGCAGCTCTGTCAATGATGGATGTGACGCCGACCCCAAAGCCATTGCCATTGTTAAGTAGCAGAATCCGTTTCCGAGAACTTATGAAAAACATCACCACTTATACCATCTGGCGGTTTATAAGAGATGAATAGTCACACGAGAAAGATACTATCTGGCGGTTAACAGATAGTCAAGTCCTTTCAGTTTAGCTACACGACTGGTGACAAGCCACGGGAACTTCTACCAACACGAAACGTGTTGATCAATCCGCTGTTAACAACGTAGCGTTACGTAGCGGTGGCTTTTAAAGCTGAGGTACTTGATGAGCCATGGATCCAAGGACGCCATGAGAAGCTGCCATGGAAACGAGCCAGGAATAATACTCGGACATTCATATAAGAAATGGACTGGTCACCAGGACAAAATCATGCTGACCGAGGCAATTCCTGGCAATGAGGGAGTTGGGTTGGGGATGGCTGGGCCAGGAAGGCGGAGAGCAAACATGCGGAACTTCCTGATTGTCAGTTTCGTTCGCAAGACAGGAAGTTGGCGACAGGATACTGATTCGCTACTGGAGGATTCTTTCGTAGCGAAAAACTCTTCTTTCGTTTGCATAGTTACTGGAACTCGCCAAGTTGCGGCCGAGCGGGTTTTGGCGCCTTTGGCCTGGAGCCGCCCAATTGAGTGGAGGCACCTGACAGCGGTGCCAGTGATGGCGGGAAATTTGCTCAGTTATCCTACACCTCACGATCAACTCAAATCGAACGATTCTAAGCCGACTTGTGACTTCAAGTTCCGTGGAGCCTTTTAGCCAAGTGCACCACTTTGTTTCACTCTCGCTTTTGTGGAATGTAGACACTTATTGAATCGTGATATTGGACGAATGCCCTTTTATTGAAGGCAGTCCGTGTTGTAACTGCTATTTGCCTTCCACCGGATTTGAATGTGCAGCACCGAGATTAACCGTGGATATGGTACAGGAAACCTACCTGCACCATGCCCGAGTGAACAAAACCCAAGAAAGACTCCTCTGCCCGCTGGAAGAATCTGGAACTGCCTTGGCAATGGACTCCAACATACGACTGCTTGGCGTAAAAAAACAGTTGAATCTCAACCATTCTTACACGCACTGTTTTGTAACGTGCATCACCTCACCTAACCGCATTCTTACGAATTGTGCCTGTACCGTGACGGAACGTTCTGAACTTGGTGAGGTTCTACAGCACAACCTGCTCCCGTTCCATGGCCCGAAGGTCTACTGTGCACAAACGTCGCGGCCATTATCTCCGATACTCAATTATGCCCGGAGCGTTTTTCGTTCGTACTCAACCGACAATTTCTCGTTTTAATAGGCACAAAACTGAAACAAAGTTGCCACTAACACCTCACCTGCACATACCCCTGCAAACAAAACAAGATATAAAATGAAACACGCAGATAACCAGAATACACTTTGGGAAAATCAAACATAAATACAGGAAGCTACCAAATATTTAAGGTTGATGCCTTCGCTTTTGCCTGCAGTTTTTTTATGAGTGTTAATATACTTATTGTTCTTACGGAAGTTGCTCCGATCCAAGGGCGCGTAGATATGGATTGAAAGATTTCATCTCAAATTTAAAACTGTTGAAGACTTGGTTGGATTTAGGATTCCGTGACTGGTAGGCGAACTACAAAATCTATGACGAGCTGGGGTAACTTTTTTGCTTCACCAATCACGGGCGAGCAAACCAGCCAAGTGTTAAACGTCAGGGTATAAGTGTAGAACGTTTGTAAATATGAGTCGCGAGTTTTAAGTTCACATCGAAAGCTCGATACAATTTTTCGTAATTTAATGTGGTAACTGCGTTCAGTAACCGCGTTCTGTTTCTATCACATTTCAACAGTATTATTAGCGTAGAAAGTGTGATTAAAGAGCGAGAGCCAATCGGCGATGAGGAATACAGGTTGAGTATGAACGAAAAACGCTCCGGGCATAATTTGAGTATCGGAGATAATGGCCGCAAACGTCGTGCTGATGTACAGAACAATAACCTCGCAAACTCTTGACAACAGTGTCAGAATGTTATTATTGTCTAGCCTGTAGTGGGGTGCTCTATAGCGAGTACAACCCAGTTAGGGTTTGCTATATGTACCCCAACTGCTGCTAGTGAAACCCCTCTCCTTTCAATCATTCTTGCCTAGTCTTGTTGACATGCTATCAGAGCAGGTCGACCCCCTTGGGTCGATCCTGTGGGTGGGCCCGCCACCTAACTGCTTCCGCTGCTATTCTGCTTCTCGCACGCCTCGGGCGCGCGCCGTCTTCTTCCTGCCGTGCGCTCAGGGCGTACGGCGGTTTTCTGCCCGCCGTGCGCCCCGAGGCGCGCGGCGGTTTCCTGCCCGTCGTGGCGCCCCCGGGGACCTGCGCGCTGCCCCCCGTCGTCCTCCTCCCGTCGCCTCGTCGCGGCGCCCTGGGGGCCCGCGCGTCCCCCCCCTCCCGTCGCCTCGTCGCGGCACCTTGGGGGCCCGCGCGCCGCCCCCTCCCGTCGCCTCGTCGCGGCGCCTAGGGGGCCCGCGCGCGGCCCCTCCCGTCGCCCGTCGAGCCGCCCTCGGGGGCCCGTGCGCGGCCCCCCTCCCGTCACCCGCCGTGGCGCCCTCGGGGGGCCCGCGCCCTGCTTCTTCGTGGCGCCCAAGAGCCACCCCGCTGCCTCCCTTTCCCTCCGTGCCCCGCCCCTGCTGTTTCCCGCGCTCCTGCCTGCGTTAGGGTTTGGGGGTGGCGGGCATGGGGGTGACCGGTGTGGGTAACCTGCGGCTCCTCCTCCTCCTCCGTCTCCCACTGCTGCAGCTGCCGCTGAGGGGGGTGGGTGTGAGGTTGCGTGGAGGTAGCCGTCGTGACGCCAGCAGCGCCAGTAGTCCGGATGCCCTCGCGCGTTTCGGTAGCCCAGCGAGCCTGCTTCGCCAGTTGCCTGTGGGTCCGTTGCTCCTGTGTGTGCTCGTCGTAGCCGCGGAGCCAGATACTCCCGTAGTCCGGTGCCCTCGTGCGCTCGGTAGCCACTGTGCGCGCCGCTCCTGTTGCCCGTGTGTCTGCAGCTTCAGTCTGCTGCTAGTGAAACCCCTCTCCTTTCAATCATTCTTGCCTAGTCTTGTTGACAAACAGCAGCGATGCAGCGTGATTGGTTCCTCAACATTCGTTGTTCATAAATTCCGTCATGCGAGATGCTTTCGCCCCAACACCACTCGTGCCGAGATATCAAGTTGGTGCGCCTGCCTACGGAATCTCCAGACAAATGGTTGGACTCTCATGGGACACCCATGACTCATTTTCCCTCCCACGTCTCCCATGACTCACATCTCCCTCCCACGTCTCCCATGACTCTCCCTCCCATGTCCCGCCCATATCCGCTCGAATGTTGCTCCAATGTTCATCCTGCTCCCATGAAGCTCTCTCCTGAGCCACGAAAAGCCTTTTCTATTGTGACACGACTCTACGAGGAGTGTGCAGTGCAGTCGTCATAGCATTACAAATCTCGTTTTGTACAGCAGACTCGCATGGCCAATTACAAATACTATCCTAACATGATAAGTGAATGTAAACGGAAGTATGAAATGGGGAGAGGGTGGGAGGGAAGCAAATGAAGATCTGAAAAATGCTAATGAGACTAGGTGGTAGGTCTGAGAGACCTGCGGGAATGTAAAGGAGGTTGTCTCCTTTACTGCAAACTCCTCTACTAGTCGAATCACAATCTTCAAATTTTTAAGTGAAACTTAAAATTTTACATCTCATAGTTTTCAAGGGATCTCTCTCTCTTAGTTATTCAAAGCTAGCTCATTTATTTCCCGTAGGTTATCTTCCAGCATGCGACGTGGCAAGATTGAGAAAGTCAGGATGTCCACACGCTTAAAAAAATCTAATCTTAGCAAGGGGCAGCCTAGCACTAGTCAAGCTGCAGCGAAGGTGATACAATCACCGACTAAAAGAGGCAAGGTGAACAAGACCATGCCCACGGCTACCGCGGATTTCGAGGTTCCCGTTAAGGTGGAGTACGACAAGGAGCCCGGAGAGGTTAATGACATAATATCAGCCTTCGCGAAGGGCGTTGCCGTACCCAAGTCGAACACCAAACCCCTGCCTAAGAGCGTTAAGAGCGATTACTTTCCGACTCCTCACCTTAACAACCACCACGGGCAGAGAGGACTTGTTTCGCTTATGGATGCTCTGCTCATTCGGGATGGGCACGAGGTTTCTACATTGTTGATCGATTTCCACAACTTGTAAGCGTCTGTGGCGAATGTAAACGCCCGCATTGGTCCAGTTTTCGTTCGTCAAAATCTTTCACCAAACCTGAAACCCTCCGTTTGTCCATTTTCAGAGTATTAAGCTTGCTGCACCAGCAGCTGCCGGGGGGGAAGACATGGCTGGCGCTCGATGCGCTTGCGTTTCACACAACTGCAACAACAGATCAGCTTGTGAGCGGTGTTGACAACAAGACTCTCCTCGAATACGACTACTTGTGTGTCGTCATATTCAACGAGTGAGTGCATGCCGCTATGAAGGTGAGCATGGCCATTGTCTTTCCCGTACTGCTTCTTTGTGTTGACCTCTGCAACTTTGTGTTGACCTCTGATTCTTTGTGTTGACCTCTGCTTCTTTGTGTTGACCTCTGCTTCTTTGTGTTGACCTCTGCTTCTTTGTGTTGAGCTCTGCTTCTTTGCGCAGAGTACCTCTCCCTAAGCACTTTAGCCTTGTCGTGATAAAAAACGGCTCGGAGTTAAAGAAGACGGAGGAGGAGTTTGCGGTGTCGGGAAAGGACCCTCGTGTCGTGCTCTACGACTCGGCGGACGTTCACTACAACATGAGCGGGTCTTGTCAGAATCCCAGTCACTAACCACTGGGATAAAAGGGCTTGTTTGTGTAGCGGGTGAGTGCGCCCATAACCCCCCAGGCCAACATGCCTGTAACCCTTCCCTAGGATCATCGGGGATCTCCAGTGGACCTCTGACACCCCCCCGCACTGGGATGCCCGAGGTGCACACACCGGGATTCGAACCCGAGACCTTCGCTCTGATACCATGTCAGAATCCCAGTCACT